AAAAAAGATTACCAGAGATGCGAATGAAAATATTAAAACTCTTAACTGCAATTTGGCTGATTGAAGCAATTGATTTACAAATTCCATTTACATACAATTTGAAATTTAATTCTCTGCCACAAACAAATGCTTCAATGTTGATACCATAAAGGTGTTAATTTGAGTCACTGTAATTCTATAAATGAAATTCAAGCTGATGGGAGTTGAAAAAGAGACTGTCACAAATAAATCCTAGTAGAAAAATAGAAAAAAAATCTTTTCAAGAAAGAGATGTCAGAAATCAGGAAAGGAAATCAACTAAACTAGAAAGGCCTGAGAAAAGAGGTCCTTAAAAGGTTTCTCTGTAAAAAAAACATTACACACTACCAACCTGCCAAACTATAATGCTCCAATATATCTTTTCAAACCTGGCTAAAAAGACTGGCTCCAAAATGATTAGAGGAGCCAAGACTAGTCATGACTATAGAGTCCAAACATGGAATAAATAAGTTGGCACCAAAAGCAAGGACCATTCTATATAAAAAGCCATACCAAGTTAGGTCATGGACCTCATGCAAGTATCTGCAACTTATTTACAAGTGTTGTAACATCTGCCACTCCTTTACCTACATGTTTAAAGGACAGAAATCATCTGAGTGACTCACCACCAAGTACTCTAATCTGCTGAGCCATCTCTCCATGTCCTGACAGATTAACGCTTATATCTTAGCTTAATTCAAATGGAAACAGTTCCCCAAAAGTTTCCTTTCCTGTAATCTCTACTAAAGGAATTTCTAACATATATAAAAATGAAATATGTATCAAACTCCAATGTATGCATCACTCACTTTCAACAGCTACCACTCATGAGCTAGATGGCCTATGCCTGCAATCCCAGCATTTGAAAGGCAGAGGCAGGAGGATCAGAAGTTCAAGGTCATCCTTGGCTATACAAAATTTGAATTTACAAAGCACAATTATCAATTCACCACAAATTTTGTCTCCTCTATATCATTTCATCTATAAATATTCCAGTTAAATGGTACATTACACAAATTGTTCACAGGTATATCCATTTTGTAGTATTAAAAAAAGATGTGTATATGGGGATCTCTCCTTCTATCTTAATAAGAGAAATAATAATAATAATATTCACTGTTTTGGGGTCTGCTGGTTAGTTTGTTGTTTTGGGACAAAGTCTCTATATAGCTCAGAATGACTGTAACTGACTTGCCTTGAATTTTCTTGCCTCAGTCTCCTGAATGCTAGGAATAAGGTGCATAGCATCGAGCCTGGCTTCATTATTTCTTTCTTTCGGGGTAGGTAAAGGTCTATTATTTAGTACCTCCCCTCTAATCGTTAGATTTGAATGTTATAGATTAAACAGATATACAGGGATTTGGGAGATGGTTCAGTTGGTAAAATGTCTGCCATGCAAGCATAAAGACCTGAGTTCAGATATTCAGTATCCACTTAAAATTCAGACATGGCAGCAAACATCTGTAACCCCAGCACTGGGAGGTAGAGACAGACAAAACATGCACCATATTGAGGCTTCAAATTTGCCAACAAGTGAGCTTTAGGTTCTGCGAGGAAACCCTGTGGAGAGATGAGAGAGATGTGGATAGCAGAGAGAGGAAGACACCCAGTGTTGACCTCTGGCCCCTGTGTGTACACATACTCATACCCCCCCCACACACACATACACAAGAAGAGGGAGAGAGAGGGATGGAGGGAGGGGAGGGAAGGAGGAGGGAGAGTCTTTGTCAGATCCCTCCATTCCTTGTACAAATTATCAAATCAGCCATGTCAGAGGATCAACTGTCCCACCCTAAATGGGTGACATACTTTGGCTTCACATACCAAATTCTGTCATGCAAGATCCAATTTTCTTCTGCAAAATCAAAGCAGCAAACCCCATTTTTAAAGAGAAACTTTCTTCTTTAAACATAAACTTTAAATACAAAACCCTCTCAAAAGTGAAGAGAACCAGGTTGTACATTAATAAAACAGCATCACACTCATCGGCTCTCAAGCCAGATTGTGTAATAACATAATGGCTCCATAAATCTATGCAAGTACCCATTGCACCAACAACAGGGAGTAGAGACAGTTTTAAATCATTTCAGATGTTAGAAACATTGCCTGCAGCCACTCAAGCAAGCTGGGAAGATTATGTTTGCTCCCAAGGCTTCACACGATTAAAGGAACTTCTAACACATGGTGTCACTCTGCATGAAACCAAGAATCAGGATACACATATGTGTACCCACCCACCCACCCACACACACACACACACACACACACACACCACCACCACACACACAGTACATAACTCTGATAAAGTTATGGTTTCTCACATATATATATATATAATTTCACAAAAAAAACTGTTAACCATACAACTGCTTCATTTTCATCTGTGCACCTGGTCTATTGTTCCATCCAGTTCTCAGGTGCTACAGATGTCTGTAATCTCCAAAGCACCATGTTAATACAATCTAAAACATTCTACCTTCCATAAGTATGTACCATGTACACAGTGTGCAACAGTGAAAAGAAACAAAGAGCCCTATTAGGGTGATGAGATACAGATGCTAGACATAGTTAGGGAGAGGCGATGGGTTTCCTAATCAATTAGTCAGACACAGCCTCAAGGAAATAAAGGAAAGAGATATGGCACTGCCTTCATCTGAGATGGGGAAAGTTGTGGGAAGAGGAGGATGTTTTGGGGATTTGGATACACTGATAGGAATTAGAATCCCTGGGTGGAAATGATAGAGAACCATAAAGCTCTGTTGTTCTTGAAAGAAATGTGCTAAGACATAAACTTGGAGTAGTTGGCAAGAAGGTACACATACCTATAGTCTTAGCACTTGCAGGGCTGGGGCAGTTGCTTAAGCCCAGGGGTTCAAAGGTCATATACTGAGATCTCATCTCAAGAATTAATAAACAGGGGCTAAGGAAATGTCTAGGCAGTAAAGCACTTGCCATACAAGCAGGGGATTAGATTTCAGATCCCCATAACACTTGAAAAAGTTGCATGACTGTAATTCCAGCCTCAGAATGCAGGGATCTGCAGAGCATGCTGGCTAGTGAGATTTGCCATAACTTTAAACTCTGGGTTTGACTGATAAACTCTGACTCAATGAATATGGTAGAGAGAATAGAGATTTCTGACACCAACATCACATTTCTCCAAATGTACAGATGTGTGCATACACACACACACACACACACACACAGAGAGAGAGAGAGAGAGAGAGAGAGAGAGAGAGAGAGAGAGAGAGAGAGAGAGAGAAAGGAGGGAGGGAGGGAGGGAAAGGAAGAGGGAGAGACAGAAAGAAAAAGTTTTTATGTTTAACACTGATATCACTATTAATAACTCAATATATTATTGTCACCTAAAAGAAATATTATTAATAGCAATAAGTCATTCGTGTATATGTGTGTGTGTGTGTGTGTGTGTAGGTACATATGTATCATGCCACCTTAATTGAGTCAATGATCTTATTCTTTTCAAATACTTGAATAAAATGGAGGAAAAACTCCATCCATCACTCTTTGTCAAGGTGGGTGCTCACTCTTTTGTGGCTACTTCATGGGATCTGAATGTGGCCATGAGAAACAAAAATGTGATTATAAGTTCACACACTAACAACATAGTTTCAGTTTTCATGTCATAGGAAACATCATATATTGATTAGTGAAAAAGCAACAATGGTTCAGTGACACCTCAACAAGGAAGAGTTTAAGTGAAGCATGCTCTAATATCCCCCTCTGTGCCTTCTCTCTAAGATGCTAAATTCCAAAATGCCCCCCACCCATAGGAGTTGTTTCTAATATTTGTTAGCCCTATGGAAGATTGCCAGGGGCTGGGTGGATAGTGCAGGTTCTACAGCTGCAGATGCTGATGCAACCTTTACAATTTGACCTCACTGAAAAAAATGAAAATCACAAGCCAATGATAAACCTGAATTAGAAATGTTGCCAGCACCCTATCCCAAACCTGATGGCACAAGAGTCAAAACAAAAACTTAGCACTAAATCAAATTAACAAACATTTCTTAAGCACAGCGCGAGTGTAGCTTATTATAATTTGGAAAATTCCACAGTATTTATCAACTCCCAAGCAAGGATATGATGTTCAAAAGTATACCACAGTAGACGTCAGCAGTAGCCACAGAGCTATGTCTCTGGGTGGGTTACCATAGCAACTGTGTACTCAGCAGCAACATGCTGTCTGCTTCTCACCAGCCCAGAACCAGAAGCAGAAGAAAACAGCTAGCTTTCTGATGGGAGCAACCCAGGGAGTCAGAACACAAGCTGTATCCATCATTCCTGCACACACACAGGAGAAATTGTCTCTACCTAACTCTTAGGGGAAAAAAATATCCACACAATTGCTTTTCTCCACTGCATAAACACAATCAACACACTTGAGCACAAAGCATTAGAGAGAGATTTTAGGGTATCTGAAGGTTGTCAGGATCATATATTTAGCTGGGTTCAGGTATAAGGGGCTTCTCTGGAAGGGAGATGGAGAAGTACTGAACGGTTTGAAAAGGCATCCTGAGAAACATTTTTTTAAAAGGAGATATATATTCCTGAAAGTCCTCCAAAGTTCTGTGGGTTGGGCCTAATATCCAGGGTAGTACCATCAGGAGGTTGTAAAAGCTTTGAGACCTGGTGAAAGGTCCTTAGGTCACTGGCCATGTGCCCTTAAAGGAGATTATACGATTCCAACTCTATCCCTTCACCACTATCCAGCTCAGGAGGTAAGCCATTTTGTCCTATCACACACTCAAATTATCTCAAGTCGTATTTTGTTATAGTTATGGAAAGCTGGCCAACACAAGAGTGGTAAGAAGTAAGCATCAGGGAAGCCATTCCTGCAGAGAAGGGGAACTCAAGGGAGGGATGTCAAACAGAAAACAAGAAAGATACTGAAGTCAAAGCACATGACCAACTTTTGGATGTTCCACATTACAGTGAAGTCAAACAGAAATTATCAAACATACCTTTTCTACTGGCAGGAAGTCATTTTCTACTTCGATTGACCTTGGTCTTAGTTTAATTGGCTTGTCTTTGAAAATATCTCCAAACCCCACTCCTTTAACTTTCTTGGGCTGGATGGCTGCAGTTGCCGCTGTCCCGTTGGCACCTTCAGACTTGGTACTGCTTGAGTCACCCCCATCACTCTCAGAGCCTGTGGTTTCTCTTAAGCCTGTCAACAGTGGGGATGAGGAGAGAAAGAGCTCAGAAATCAGCCAGAGGCCACAATGCAGAACTTCACAGGTGGCCAGAAGCCATCTCTCAAAGTGTGACAAGGCATCTGTACTCAGGGTGCTGAGTATGCTGACTCAGGCTGTCTCAGTTTTGTTTGTTCTTACTACCCCCAGTCTTTAACTTTAAGCAGCGAATAAAAATAACTTCAGAAACTCTGCTTTCATGCTGATCTCGTTGTATATGTGACATTTTACATGCTTCAGCCAAAGCCTGGTTCTGATCCAAAAATTTTCCCCATGGCTTGTGTGATACCAATCCTCCCTGCCCATACCTGGCATTCCCACTCAGTAAGTACCATACCTCCCTGCACCTCGAAATTCTCTCATTCATGTCAAATTAGCAATTAGCAATGAAGGTAACATTTCCTAAAGGGAAACTGTAAAGCTAAAAGTGATTTCAACAAATTAGCAATTAAACCACACAAAATTATGACTGCCAAAGACTTAAATCTCTTTGGATGGCTTCACAAGGAATAAATGCATGCAGGCATGTTCCTCTAAGAAAACATTAAAATGAACTTGACATGACGAGAGTGTTTCCTAGCAAGACAATGGTGTTTGTTAAAGATGGAAAGAAAACTGTCTTCCCAGATGTCAGAATCCTAACCCTATGAGTCCTCCTCTTTTCTCTAATCAATACTTCCCAAAGCTGAATCTTTTCTGAAAGAAAACACTGGGGATATGACACCCTCCTTTTAGTCCCTTGTGCCGTATGTTGGGAGGTATATAAGAGAGTTATCAGCAAAACAATACCGACATTTACCTCCCCAGATGCTTGGTCCCTAGGCTCTGCCCACACTAGTGTTCCTAAAAGGAAGACCCTATTTGAGTCTGTTAATTTCTGTGTATATATTCTTGTTCAGTAGTCAGGATATCAATTATGCCAGCAAAGGCAAGGATTCAAAGAACTTTTTTTTTAAATATTAAATTCTGTCACTAAACCATCTCTCCAAGGTTCTATATGTGTAGGATAGCTTTTAAAGCTTTTGATCATTTATTCTGTATCTCCTGACCATAATAATTTCCTTGAGGTTAAAGAATGACATCAAATTTCTTTTGCTTGTGGCCAATTAATTGTACATTAGCTTCCCATGGCAACCTAGTCCATAAGAACGAAAACACCAAATAATTGTTCACACAGAATATCATAAAATGTTGAAGTAGTTTAAGTGAGGAAATCTCAGAGCAAGGAAAAATCGTTAAATGCAAACAGATAAAATATAGAAAGGTCATTATAGATTGCTAACAGCTTTCAGAACCAAAGCCGTAGAACAATGGTTTCCTTTGTTGCTGCCATTTTCCATAAAGCAGTATTTCTAAGCCAAAAGGTTGGGGGAGGGGGAAGACAGCTACTGCATATTTTAGTTAACTAAAGCGCAGCATTTGTAAGCAGGAACAGAGGACATAAGAAGGAGGGGGCCAGCTGCACTTCACAGGACGAGATTGTTGTGTCCAAACATGGAGAACCCTGGATTAGCTATCCATTTGTGTGTTTATCTGTTCATTGTTTCTGGGAATACCCATGCTGGAGATACAATTTGGGAGTCTAAATATTGTGTCATTTTCCCCTTTAACATGCTCTTATTTTTCTGTATGGATTCTTTCTATGTGACAAATGGCTTGCATATTCTTTTTTATTTTTGGAATGAACCACTGAGAGTGAAATAAAGAAACGGTGTAAAGAAACCATATCACCTACCATCACCTACCACCACCCCCACCACCTGCCACCATCTCCTCCTCCACCAGTCCCCTCACCCCCACCCCCTCCACCCCCTCCACCCCCTCCACCCCCTCCACCCCCTCCACCCCCTCCACCCCCTCCACCCCCTCCACCCCCTCCACCCCCACCAGAAGGCAGCAGGGCAAATGAAGTAGAGCGTCTCTGTTTTAGTTCTGCAGGAAGAGAAATTCAGGGGATTTTTTTATAGTCCACCATTAGCTATAGCCATAACCTGGTCTCTACTCTCACCCTAATTTCACCAAGTTCCCATTTGTAGGGATTCGCTGCCTTCAGGCTCATCTCAAGAACTTTACATTAGTAATTGTAAGAAATAATACATTTTACAGGGAATATATGCACAGTCATTCAGCCACACAAGCATGGCCTGGGAAGGAAACACACGGCAGATTTTTCTTCCAGAAATTCTGGCAGACTGATTCTATAATTTTCAAGAATGCAAATTATACTGCTAAATACTTGTACTGGTGTAATAACTCAAAAATCTAGTTCTTTCCCTTTGGAAAAAAAGAATGGAAAAATCTAGTTCTTTCATGTTGGGTACTCCTCTTATCTACTTGTGCTTATCATGGGTATCTTCTTATATCATATTCTGGATGCTGGATGGCACTCTCAGGCAGCTCAACCTTCCAAGTGGAATGTAGGTCGGGGCCAGTTTATGAAGAGTACATTACTGGCCCATGAAGAGATGGTATAAAAATGTATAAGGGTTTGGAAATGATGTTAATATTTTGCCACTATATACTGGTGTGACTTTCAGACACATGGTCAGGGCAGAGCATGGAGATGAGCAAGATCAGATCTCCCCGCTGAGCATAAGAAGCATACTGCATGCTAAGTCATTTGCAGGAGAATTGTGCACCTGTTCAGAATGGACTAGAAAGGAAAGTAACTTCACTTCAATCATTTGAGGAAAATTCTGCTCTTGTCTGAACCTCTTTCCTCACATGTATGTATATAATTCATGGATATGAATATATGTGTACCACAGTGGAGCTTCTTCCCTCCTGATGAAAAAAAGAACAAAGCCTCCTAAAGTTTGCTTCTGCCAGTCCAACGATTGTCCACTGTGGTGTAATTCACCCTAGTTTCATAATCACCCATCAGTCCTTGATGGTTTTTAATTTGACACATTCATATGTAGTGCTTGTGATGTAACAGGAATTGTTCTAAGGGCATCATGAAATTAATTCATACACCTCATTTCTTCAACTTTTGGCAGCCTTATTTTACAACATAAAAGGCTGCACACGGGTTCTGCCAAAAGAAGTCTGCCGTGTGGTGATTAGCTGGATGAGCAAAGCAAAACACTGGATCTGGCAATGGACTTCCATGCCAAAATCTTCTTTCTTTGAACCACACACAAATGACAAATGACCCACTTGGAAAATGCAGTAACTAGGAGAAGTTGATGTCTCCACCAAAAGCCATCCTCCATAGCCATGACAAAAACTACTGCTTCATTCTCTGCATACATGTTTCATGCATACATGTCATACACATGAGAAAGGCAGAAAGCAAACAAGACAGCACCAGGAGTTCGTGATGAGAATGCTCTCGTAGCACACACCAGGGAAATGGCACTTATTGGAGGCAAATAAGCCCATGTCCTTGGTTCAGAAATTCACGCAGACATTTGGCATAAGCACGGGCAGCTCAGGAAAAGCGCAGTGGCATAAAAACCCACAGATCTTATCTTTATGATTGCCGCCTGCTGTTAAAGTCACTCACTGTAATAGCGTCTGTGGCCCTCCGTCTTTCCCGGTGCAGCACGGTACAGAATTGTCCCTTCAAAGGTAGTCTTTCCTGACAGTGAATGAGAGAAGAGAAGGGGGAGAGAAAAAAAAGAGAGGGGGCAGAGAGGAGCAAATGATGGCAAAAGAAGGAAGAGGAAGAGTCTTTAACTGAACTTGCCTTCAATGACTCCGCTGCAAGAGCTTCATCCATGCAATTAAAGACCATTAGGCAGAGTTTAAGAATGTTACAGAATGAGCCCAAAGTCCCCATGTAACCAAAATGGAAGAAATAAGCAGATGGGGCTTGCATCTAAAATGAGCCACATGTATGTTATGCCCAATTACAACTTGGGAGCCATTTTACATTTTAACTTAAGAACAGGAAAACCTCAATTAATCAGGAAGAATCCAATTCATAGAATTTTTCCATTAACTCAACAGGGAAGCACACTCTTCCCTTTGGAGAGTGTGACAAACACATTAAACAGACCTGGCCCTTCTGCTTCTTTTATCCCTAGAGATCCACATATTAAAACTGATATATAAGTCCCAACATTCTAAACAAGGTATAGAATCCTCCTCAGAAAATTTGTTGGGCAAGGAGTGTGGTTCACTACTAGATTATTTGCTAAGCATCCATAAGGCCCTAAGTTTGATCCCAGTATGGCAACATGAGTAAACAGAATATTTGCCACTTCTTAGTACCTTCAAGCAAGACAATATAGTAACAAACTACAGGGGAGATTTTATTAGTGAGATGTAAAACCAATACTGGCCCCCATACCAACATGAAGGGATGCTTTGGTTTAGTACCAAGTATATCAGAGAAACTCTGTCGCTTGAAGCATCTTAATTGAGGTTTTGTTGTATCAATAATGTCTACTTAAGCATTGAGGACATAGGACTCATCCAGCTTCAAATATCATATTTTTGATACAAATCATAGGACTGAACACACAGCTAAAGCCCAAACATCATTGGATCATAAGAACACAGATACATGACTTGCTCCAACTTAAGTAAACACATACCCACCCACCTTTCCAACACACAAATACACACACACACACACACACACACACACACACACAACACACACAACACAACACAGAGAATATCATAAGCAGCACAAGATGATAAAAAATGTTTGAAAAATAATCTCAATTAATTAATGTATTATTAAAAGAAATAAGTTCTGTTCAAGCTCATGAGTTAAATACTCAAACAGGCATGTAGGCTTATACTTTCATAGTAAGTTGAAAGGTACAAAGCATAAATAGGAAGTGTAACTGGAAGGGCAAAGAACAACTTCTCTCACTCCTTACAAACGCTCCACCATCAAAATAGGGACCTTGATAAGGTCAGTTTCCAGGCCTTGTTACTCCCAATATATGACTCCAATTAGGAATGATCAGATAGATTGTAATTCCCATGTGTTACAGGGAATGGTAATATGCCCTGGTTTGGAAATCTGCCCTATGGCTCATCTGTGCTGCAGCCAATTAGAGAAAAAAGTTAGGCATTCAAGTCCCTACCCATATGTGGGCCCAAGTGGTATGCATAAGCAACCTCAGCTGCTCAGGAAGCTGAGGCAGGAGGGTCCCAGAGACTACATATTGAGTTGCCGGCCTTGGGATACAAAAGTAATGTCATGTCTCAAGAAAAGAAAAATCACTATCTACATTAAGAACATTCTAGGGAAGCAATAGTTTTTGTACACATGCTTCTTGGGGAATCTCCAAGCCAAAAGCAGAACAAGTTAACAGCAAAATTTTATTTGAGAAGATTTTCCTCTACTTAACCTCAAGAATGTCACCATTCCTCCTAAAGTACAGCTGCTGGTGTGGGAACAGGCCTTCTACAAATGAACAGCAGCAGTCTTCTCAGTGTCAGCACAAAGTGGGATAAGAGAAAAGAGTCTACATTCCAATGATGCTCCTGAGTGCAGCAGAGCTTTCAAGTGCTCTGCCACAGGAGCAAGTCTGAAAATCCCAGTGCGAGACAGATCATTGTCTTGATACTTGCACTATCAATCAAACCAATCTGCAAAGTTCCCCTGCCCACTGCCAGCAAGGCAATTAGAGAGGCAGCCTGGGCTAGGTTGGGTAAGGATGCATAGGTACACTTATCTGAGTGAGAAGCCAAAGGGACAGGCAATCAGAAACTTTAAGCATATGAGCAATGTTTTGCTTGCTGTGGGGAATATTTTACTAAGACCATTAAATGTCAGGGGTGTTGTTGTTATTGTTTGGCTTTTCTAGATAGGGTTTCTCTGTGTAGCCTTGGCTATTCTGGAACTGGCTTTGTTGACCAGTCTGAGCTCAAACTCATAGAGATTCAAGTGCCTCTGTGACCTGAGTGCTAGGATTAAAAGTGTGAACCACCATGCCAGTTTAAATATCAGTTCTTGAAGGGAACAAACATTATAGAAGGGAAGAGTTTTAAAATTCAGATGCAAAATTATATGTTTATATTAGCATCTTACTTTTCCTAAAATTTCACGTTTTATCTATTGGTTAACTGCTCTTTACTGCAAACAGAACACAACAAACGCAATGACACTAAATACTAAAACTGAAAGATGTCTAATAATAGTGCAGAATGGAGTTTTTCAAAGTATATTGGTATCATGGAAGTGGTTTACCACGCTTTCTTAAAACCCCTCTTATATTTGTCTTATCTTGACATGTCACCAAAGTATCACAATTTAAATATTTTAAATTAAAAAACTGGGAAAATGGGAGCTTCATTTCAAATGGAAAATTATAGTTATATACAAAGATATGTTTTATCCCTCAGAAGGTTATAGTAAATAATTGACCATGTTCCTGTAATTATAGGATTGTTTTTTGAGTCATGGTCTCATGTATCTCAGGCTGACCTTAAACTATCCATGTAGCTGTGGATGACCTTGAATTTGTGATGCTCCTGCATTCACCACCCCCCAAACACTGGGATTACAGTGTCAACATACCTAGCTTATTCAGTGCTAGGGATCCAATCCAGGGCTTTGTGCGTACTTGGCAAAGATTCTAAAAACTCAGTTATAACTCCAGTCCAAGGATTTTAAAACGTAATAATTATAGTTTTAAAACAATTATTTGAAATTAAGTAGTATCAAAACTGTTAAAATGGAAGATTCATATATATTTTAAATATGAGGCAAAATATATACTGAAATTGGATCATACAATTTTTTGTCACTAAGTCCAAATAAATCCCAGAGTCAGGATAATGTATGATTATAACATTTGTTGATTAGCTCCATTTTGCATTATTTAGTTAATTGGAACAAATGTACAACTATAGATAAAAAGGTAATTAATTAGTCAACATCTATGATTGTAGTAAGAATAAATTCAACTTCAGTCAGGTGTGAAATTCACCAGATGCTGCATGAGAAGGTAATGTTTATGTAATGGAGGTGATGCCAGAATATGTATAGAAAATTTGCATGTCATTTTGGTCTTCTAACTCATAAACCAGGCCACAGGTGAAATGGAATTACCATATGCAAAAAAGTGTTGTCATCTGACACCAGGCCAAATGACCAGAAAATTCCCATCAATACCTAGTATCTTAAGATTCCATCTTACTATTGATGCAAATGTTTCTGTTTTGTTTTAAAACAACTGAATTTAGTAAACATCTTTTATGTGTGTTTATTAATGTGATATGTGGAAGTTCATTTAAGTCTTTTTTTTTTTTAAATCTTGTTTGGTACCCCTCTGTAAGCCCTGGCTGACCATATCTTACTGATAATCAATGACAGCTGAGTTCAAAAGGAAAGACAGTCAGACCTGATGAACCTCCAACTAGAGCATCATGTACCACCTAGGAAGATGTGAAACACACACACACACACACACACACACACACACACACACGCACACACACACACCACTCAATCTACTCACATCCCTAGATTTAATAATCAATTTCTAGAAATAACAAAAAGGAGATTAAAACCACCACAAGCCAGACAATGAGAAACCAATGGACAAACAAACTTGTCTTCTTTAGCAAACAGACTACACAGAAGGAGGAACTATGAAGGAGAAACTGATAGACTCAGAGAAATTTGATACATGTCAACTTATCACTGTGTATGTACCTTATCTGACTCTAGATTCACATCAACAAATCCCATACAAAAGGAGGTTATTAGAGGAGAGTGAACACAGAACATAGGCTTAATTATTTAAGACTCACTGCAACTTTGTTTATGTGTGGTTATGGCACTTTAAGAAACCTTTATATTGATACATATTAAAATATGGGTGAAATTATATAATATCTAGGATTATGTTTAAGATAAAATAGAGCAGGAATGTGAAGGGAGATAGTGTCAACAAATTAGCCATAGGCTGAGATTTGATCAACTGCAAGACAGAACATAGGGATTCTTTATTTTTACTATTCATACTTTTACCTAAGTTTGAAATGATCTACAATTAGGGATTCATAAAAATCTTTTTGAGAAAATTCATCTCAAGTGTCACAAGTTCCAAGTGTAAAAAAACAGTTTCAAATTTAAATATGCAGAAAGTTTCTGCTATTACTCAACTAAGAGTCAACCCATATGACTGCTAAAACTCTATCCTTGGCAGACCAGATTAACCTGAAAAAGAGCTATTGAACAAAATGCCATATGTAAGAGAGTATGAAAAACAACTTTCTAGAAATGTTTACCTGTCATTCAAGATAAAAATGCCTCCTTAAAGTAATAAAGGGCTCATTAAGAATGTATTAAATACCTACCATGATACCAGTAGTCAATGACATACTCCTTTTTAAGTACAATGCCAATGTTTCCATTATCAGAGTCATCTATTAACATACAAAAGTCATTACTTCAAGTATTATTTGCAAAATATATGGGTAAGAATGCATACATTCGAAAAATAAAATAAAAAAGAACATACATTCAAAGAAAGGAGTGCTTGTGTACATGTGTGAAACAAATATACAAGAATTCATTGCACACAATGCTCTCTCCATATTAGGATACAGATTTTATCTGTAATGACAAAGAAAACCCTCATACTAATGTCTGGTAGCACTTAAAAGAATATTTATATGTTAGTACTGTAATCTCTAAAAATTACCAATATGACACAAAGATTAGGATTTAACTTAGCCCCAGAGACATGTAATTAACAATCATTGCAGAAAAACGGATTGCCCTTTACAAAGATTATTAAGTAGGCTGATCAAACAAAGATTCTGATTAAGTACATTTTGGCTCATGACAAAAGAAGTTAGATGTTGTTTGTACACTAACTACATTTTGTATCTGTCAACTATAGGACAAAAGCAAACATTTTTTTGTAGGTGATTTAATCACTGGGGGAAAATATACATGGGTCTTCCCCATACAGTTAGTGTTTACTTTTTATAACTTCCTATGAATCTTAATTATTTCAAAACAAAAAAGAGGGTTTCCCCTCCTATCCAAAGTCCTAACACTATTCTCTAGTGAATAGGATAGAGAGAGAGAATAAAAAGGCCATTCAAAAATCAGAGGTCCTGTTTGGATAAATCCCATCAGTATGTAGTCTCTGTAGCAATATAGTCTGGTTACATATACATTTTAGCATAATTCTATGGTGAAGCAAATCATGAGTGTAGACAAGTACTAAAAACACTATCACAACACAGAGAGAAGCTACTTCTCTCTTTCAGGACATGGTTTCAATTCACAAAGCAACAAAGATATTATTTTCACATCTACTCTTCAATGAAGCCCTTCTTGACCACGACAGCCACATCACCATGCGATTGGTGTTGTGGTATACAGCATTTGTTTAACTATGGAAAGATGTGTTGCATTTCCTTAACTACATAAAGATATGTTGCTTTGTTTATGCTGCATTTTTAACTATGTAAAGATGTGCTGCTATTTTACATTGTCTGCCTAAGGCACCTGATTGGTCTAATAAAATGGTGAACTTCCAATAGCTAGGCAGAGGATGGAAAAGCAGTACTGGTGGGCAAAGAGAAAGGGGAAACCAGCCAGAGACCAGCCAACCAGACATGGAGGAAGCAGGACAACAGGATGGACAGTATGTCGATGAGATAAATGAGCCTTGGGGCCGCACACAGATTAATAGAAATTAGTTAATTTAAGTTTTTTAAAAGGCTAGCTAGAAACAAGCCTAAGCTAAGGTCTCCATTTCATGATTTGGGAGCTGGTTGCGGACCCAAAGAAAATGCCAACTATAGTCTGGCCTCTCTGCCTTTGTGTCCCACTCTTCCTCAAATGTCAGCTCCTGGGGAACTTTCCTGAGATTCTGAGAATTGGTGTGTCTCCTTTCTAAATGTAAGTTGACTGTGGACAAGGTTCCTATCTGCATCTCATTTGTCTGTGATTCTTCAAGGTACCAACAAACATCTCAGTAACTATAGAAGCTTAATGGAGATTTAATTAATGAAGTGTAGAAGGAAATAAAGGAGAAGACAAAAAAGAGATGGATATATACAGACAGGGAGATAGAGATAGGGGTCCTGTTTTTCTTAACTGCACACATAGGGAGATTGCAGCAAACACTGTTTTATTTTTATCAGAACCATCCATCCTTGTTAGAATTAAATGCTTCTCCAGGGACCTCAAATTCCTCACCAATAGACAGCTGGACTGAACATGGCCACTGAAACTACTAGACTCATCTTGTTCTAAAACAGAAGGCTAGTTACTGAATTGGTGCTGCAGGTAAGTAAAAGCCAAATGATTGAGAAGACCATTCCATGCTCAGTCAAAACCTCTACTACCAAGAATTCCAGCACTACATGCTTTGAGTATAGAGTCTGCCACAGTTACCTTTCCATGGTAATGACCTAGGATGTGTTTAGGGGTACAGATTCTTTCAATAGTTCCAAAAACTTTTGGATACATTCCCTGAAACTCTTCACTTCTGAGAATATATAGAGCTAAGATGGTAGGATGCCAAGAAGTAAGGACTTACCCAGTGAGGCTGTCCCCAAATCTTCATCTCTGCATCAGTAAAGGAATTTCAAAATAATTTTTTAATGCAGACATAATGCTACAGTGGCATGGAAGTGAAGAGAAAACAAATAGCTAAACACCAACTGGTCATGTCCCAAGTCTATCTCAACAGTGAGAGCTGTCATTTACTGAGGACCTTCCTATGTGTGGTGGCTTATAGATGATATTGCTGTTGCAACTTAGATTTCCTTTCCTCGTGGAAATAAAGTTATAATAGCCTGATCTTTCTCTCCTCCCCTGAAAAGCATATTTATTCCACACTAATCCAGAGATACAGTATTGTTAATGTGGGACCTAGTTACCAGGCATACTATTCTAATGTACAAAAGAAGATTCCAGAGCAGCCAAAATTCTACTGTGGATTGTGGGGAAGGGGTAAAAGAAACTCTCTCTGCTATACTCATTTAATTGACCCCAGTAGCAGAAAACCACATGGCCCAGTTCAGAGGTGAAAGGAGTTCCCAAATACTTTACTTGTTCCAAACATCCATACTAATCCTTCAAATCCTAGACTCAAGGATAGAACGGATTTTGGAGCAGGCGGATTCTCAAGCTTTGGCAGTGGAAGGAAGGGGTCCTCCTGCAGCCAGCCACTAAGTCAACCAACCAGTACAGTTGCTTCTATGTGTGGCAGACTCGATGACAGAGAGCGATTGCTGAGACACCAAGCAAAAAATGTTACCTATGTACTTTTCTGGAAATGGCTTCAACTTCCAAATCAAATCTTTGTCCAATTATACTGCTGGTTAGATAAAGGGATACCAAGACAAATAGAAGAATGTTATCTAAATTAAAAATTTTAAAATGGAAAGTGATATTTAAGAATTATTTTGGCAATACTGGATTGTCCTCCTCTTGTTAAGAAGGAAAAACAGCAAGTAGCATCACACTGCTATGACATAGCTGAGTCTCCTACAACATTCATGCCCATGACCTTGGCTCAACACGGCACAAGATAAACACAGACACCCACATGGGAAGTTGGGTTAGAGACTGGGAGAACAAAGCTTCCCGGTCCTGACCTTTTGCTCCATGAGCTGGAAAGGGTAGCAGAGAAGCTGGAGAGAAACCTTCAGGCCCTGGAGAAAAACAGACCTGAAGTTTGTTCTCACCATTGCAAAAGGGACCACTTCCTTATCCAAGGCAAGGTCTGGCCTCTTAACTATCTTGTCATATATTCAATGGAACTGGCATGCATTTATCTTGTACATAGTACCTGCAACTAATAATTTTGTTATCCTCCCAGCCCCAAGTTCATCAGAAGATACTAGGGAATACTTATCATCTCAGTGGGTTCATTCAAAATATAATTACAAACAGAATGGAAAATGATATTCTAAAGGTATAGGGAGCTGCAGCAACATGTGCTACCCATGAGCCAGTACTACCATGGCTGAGGGCTGGTATTCACTTAGCTAGAGACATGTAGAATACATAGCTATAGCTCACATTTATACAGTGATAAACTTAATAAATCACAGTGGGCAAGGTAGTCTAGCTAATAAAATACCCACAAGCTTTTGTCACAGGCCTTTGACATAGAACAATGGTACATAAAGTAGGCTAGGACAGAGCTCACTAGTCTACTTCTTTTCCCATTCAGTATGGTAGACTTCCTTACTTGACTTGGATAGCTGCTCATCCTGGGAAATGCCAAGATCATCCGACTCCCCTGACAGCTCCTTGATGAAGTTGGAAGGAAACATTCCAGTCTTCCCATTGAGTACACCTTCCCACCATCCTTCCTCTACCTGCATAGAGGGAAAGAAAACAGAGGTATGAGACCAAGTTAGACATGTCTTCTATTTACATGGTAGAACTCACACAGAAGAGGAGCCCAAAATTTCAAAGTTACCAGAGAAACACAAAGTAGGCCACATGATCTTATGATTCAGACAGATAAGGGAGTTAACCTGCAACCCAATACAGGTAGTCAAACTGTAACACTTCATCAACTTCTAACTGAAATTTGGCATTTCCTTTAGTTATGAAAGTAGGTAACATACCAATATTAGAAGGACCTGTGACTCACTGCAAAACAAATCATGAATATTTTCCTATCACATCACAGATGCTGTGAGTATCTCAAAATATCATTTGTGCTACTTTCAAATGGTATAAATTATACCTGCTGGGTGGCATTTGTTATTTAATGTATTAAGAAGGTATCACATAGATTGCTGTATCAAAATTTGCTTTTATTTGATCTGTACTTCACTGTAGTTTCCTTTGTAACTTTATGCTTTATGAAAATCATTAATTTTTTTTTTAAAAAAATATAACCAGGCATGATGGCACATATCTGTAATTCCAGCACTCAGAAGACACAGTAAGGAAGATAAATAGTACCTGTGAGGCCAGCCTAGGGTTACACAGCTGGATCAAATGGCTAGAAATGTAGCTCCTTAGGCAAGTACTTGCCTAGTATACACAAGGCCTAATTTATATACTCTCAGTAGCACAAACAACACAAAGGATGAGGAAGAAGAGTATGGGGGGTGGGGAGGAAGATGAAGAAGAAAAGAGAGGGAAGGAAGAAGAGAAAGTTTCTCAAGATAACCAAAACTAGACAGTTGAGAGAAAAGTCTATTTTCAATTAAAGAAAAAAATTTAAATGGAACCAGCATAAGACTGAATCAGGCTCCCAGAAAGTGGATTGTCAGTTACGAGGCCTGGGCAGTCTATGGGGCCTCTGCAGTGAAACCAGTATTTATCCCTAGTGCACAAATGGACTTTGGGAGGCCATTCCCTATGGAGGAATACTCTCTCAGCCTAGATACATGAGGGAGGGCCTAGGTCCTGCCCCAAATGATGACAGACTTTGATGATCCCCCACGGGAGACCTCAACCTCCCTGAAGAGTGGATGGGGTGTGAGATGAAGGGATGGTATGGGGAATGAGAGAATGGGAGTGAGAGGGAACTGGGATTGGTATGTAAAATAAAATCATTTTTAATTTAAATATAAATTAATTTTAAATTTTAAATAAAAAAGTTCTTAGCTACATGCTCAGAAGGTAGAAAGATTTCCTGTGGGTTTCTCCCAGAATGGGGGGAAAGACTGGAATATCATTAGAGCAGTAAAGCTTCTGAATAGGATGTGGGAGCTGGACCAGAAAAGCAGTGAGATCTGACAGGACAGGTTCAGTTTTAAGGTATGAACACTAGCTGGGGGCAAGTGAAAGAAAAATTTTCTGAAGTATTTGAGATGGATCCACTAATAGCAAAGTAATTTCTGAATATTTGGCTGGATTCTTGGAAGAAAAATAAGATCATTTTGAGAAGAAGCAAGTTACCAATAAGATGTGGGATGGTAGAAAAAGGAGGTGGAACCTTTAGAATTTTTCACTACTCTGTGGAAAAAAACAATGGAATCTTGAAATTTGCAGGCAAATGGATGGAACTTGAAGAAATCATCCTAAATGAGGTAACCCCGTCACAAAAACAGGAACATGGTATGTACTCACTCATATATGGATTGTAGAAACAGAGCAAAGGATCACCAGCCTGTAATTCACACCGCAGAGAAACTAGGATACAAGGAGGAATCTAAGTGATTCATATAAGGTCCCTCACAGAAGGGGAAAGGATCAAGATCTCCTGAGCATATTGAGAGTGGGGGGAGGGCGATGAGTGCAATGGGAGCTAGGAGAAAGAGAAGGGGAGGAGAGGAAAGCATTTGGGACAAGGAAGATTGAGTCAGGGGAGGAATAGATGAGAGAAAAAAAGAGACAGAGAGAGAGAGACCATAAAAGAGGGAGCCAATATAGGTTTAAAGAGAAAACTGACTCTAGAGAAATGTCCAGAGACCTACAAGACTGACCCCCAACTAACAATTTGAGCAACAGTAGAAAGGCTACCATAAATGCCTTTCACCGACAATGAGATTGATGACTAACTTATCCACCATCATAGAGCTCTCATAGAGCTGATGGAAACAGAAGCAGACACCCACAACTAAACCATGATCTGAACTGGAATCCAGATGCAGAGAGGGAGGACAAGACCAGGCTACAGAAACCCACAGAGACAGTTGACCAGAACAAGGAGGAGCTCATGGACCCCCAGACTGATAGCTAGGAATCCAGCATTGGACTGACTCAGACCCCCTGAACATGGGTCTCAGTTAGAAACCCTGGGCAGTCTAAGGAACCTCTGACAGTGGAACCAGGATGTATCCCTGGTCCACAAAAGGACTTTGGGAGCACATTGTCGATGGAGAGATACTCCCTTAGCCTAGAGGCAGGAGGGAGGGGCCTAGTCCTTACTCCAAATGCCTTGACAAATTTTGTTGATCCCTCCTGGAAGGCACCACCCTCCCTGTGGAGTGTGTGCAGGGGAATAGAATGGGAGGGTGGTCTGGAAGCATGGGAGGGAGGAAGGGAAGGAGGGAGGGAGGGAGGGAGGAGGAACTGGGATTGATATGTAAAATAATAAAAATAGTAAAAATAAATAAATGGGCATCTATTGCCATAGAACCTTTAGAATTTTTCTATATGTATATATTATCCATACAAGACAAATGCAATTTAAAAACCTAAAATAATACAAACAGACAAAAAAGAACATTAAAACTCAAAGCCCAGGTCAAATTTTATCCCAAAACTTAGCAGTTTTGTGAATTCATTCCTTTTTCTCCTGCCAAAATAAATCCTCCTTCCCCATCTGCCTAACAGAGCTGGACAACACATCTCAAGTGGCATATTAAGCATGACCTTTGTCTCTGTTAGAGGTATAAGCATTATGGTTCTATGCTAGGATCTGGGAATATGGAACTATATATGCTAAGTACTTATTTTTTGCTAAAGAAGGTGACAGTCTACCAAAATAGGAAGGTGTGACTAAAGACTAAGGCTAGCAACACAGGATAAGTAGATGGGAAAAAGACCATAACTTGGGACAAATCAAACTTGTTATATAAAGTTGAGCTCACTTAGGTCCAGGATGGTAAAAGACACATTTGAGAAAAGATAAATCAAAACTAAGGTAGGCCATTAAATTGACCGCCAGGGTTGAGTCAGCTGATCTGGCTGGCTAGGTAGGTGTTTCCTTCCTCCCTCACTTCTCCATGTGTGTCCCTCCCAATGTTGTGCACTCGGTTGAAGAGGATGAACTTCCCCTAATAGAGGAGGACCAGTGTTTGGTCAATGGGTATATGAGTAGCTGCGCTCCCCTGCTAGAACCTCCAAACAAGCTCTCAAGGTTGGACATTAAGAAATTAGAAACAATAGCTATGATTAGGGGAGATATGTTCAGCACATTCCAGAAAGGGGAAAGGACCTAATGAAGACCAGGGAATGGAGGCAACCAAGGCAATATATTTAGAACACTCATTAGAGAAAACATAGGATACAGATTTGTGGAGTAGTGGTTACATTTGCATGACCACAAAATCCTAAGTGAAGAATGCATACAACAGCATCCATGGTTGTCCTCATGATTATTCAGTATTGGTTCACTGCATTTAGCATCACTTCCACTGACTAGCATTTCCATGTTTCTATGCCAACTCAATTGAAGTGTATTATTCCTTTAAGAGAGTTTTGATAGAATTAAGATAGTTGCAAGGATTCACTGTGAGTCTGCATATCAATAGTCATAGGATTTGTAGCATGGGGAACTTGTGCTAGCTCTGAATAAAGAATCATAAAATAACCCCCTTTTTCCTCAGGAATCACAGGGCACGGGGAAAATCCAGGGAAGGACCTGCAGCTTAGTGATATGGGGTACAATGTCAGGCTGCAGAGGGCAACTGGATCAACTCCATCCATTCAGCTTGATGATGTCTAAAATATTCCCCTTTCCACCAAGCAGCTCTAGTGTGAGATTCCAGGAAAGCACTCCTGATGTTTAGGATCAGCAGCAGCCTACTGGGGAAACAAAGGTATGTTCACCCTGACACACTCCAGATGCTAGTATCACTGTCATTGCATAGCCTGAGAGGCTTGGGGAAAACAGCAGAGGATTATCATTAGCCACACAGCAAGTAGGAGGGTTGAAAATAAAACCATTGCTCATCACCTGGGGGATACTTCCAATTGCAGCTTCCATGGGCACAAGGGATATTTCTTTGTGACCTGAGCTCTTCTTGGGGGAAAGCCTGGAACCAGAATCACTGAGAGCTGTGTAATAAAATGTCTTCCTACAGTTTGCTGTTTTGGTCTCAAGATTAAGCCTGGAGATAAGAGAAAAATTATCCTTATTTTCAAAATAGCTCTCTTCAGAAATCTGGTTCAATTTCCTACATAAAGGCAAGGGCACTGAAGCCCAGAATGACAATTTCCCCCTGTCAAACACAGTGTCAATGCATCCATGCTAGGGAAATCATTAAAAGAAATCCTATCAAGTCCTGATCGAGTCACAAAAGGTGGGGTATTTGGGGGGGGGAGATGGGGTGGGGGAGGGAATCTTTCTATGAGGAGCAGAAGGGAACAAGAGATCCCGATTATTACTGCTGTTTTTAATTGTTTTTAATGGCCTATGTGGCCATTCCATTGATGTAAAGATTTACTAACCAGCTATCCTGTACTGCCTTATGATGTTGGGAAAGATGCATTGGTGAACTAAACAGATAAAGATCTCATTCTGGAGCTTGAGAGATGTCCCCACACCTAAAGTGCTTGCCATGCAAACAGGATCTATATATACCCAGCACATCGTAGAATACAAATGCAGTCAGTGGTGCACACCTGTAATCCCAAACCTGGCAAGGCAGGGACAAGAGGATTTTAACGGTTTTCTGGACAGCCTCTC